GCTATGTGGTCGAGACTGAAAGTTTTTGAGACTTTATCATGGCTCCAGAGTTCGACTATTCTTTCGCCATATGGATGAATTTCTTTACTACATACATTACGATTTTAAAGCGTCTGAACCTCTTTTCAACCTTGACAAGTTTTTGAACCACGTATAAGAAGTGTATCCACTTTATCTCTTGGGTTTTGTATAATGTATTTTTACTCTATACTTACTGTTTGTTGATTGGCTCATATTTTTCAAGGTCACTAAGAATTCGTTCAAAGGTCGTTCATAAATTATAGTCTCGCCAAACTCCTAATGATGTTAAGTTTTCACAATTTATTTGTATCACTTTTTAATGACTGGTGTCATTTAGTAAACTTTCCTTATGTCAAGTTTTCCTAATTGATTGATCTGTATTTATCAGGCACTTTTGAATGACTAAATAAATAAATAAAACGATTTACTTTAAAGGAGTGTCCATGAAGAAATTTGAAATTTTTCGATGATTATTGTATAGAAGTAATAATACATGTAGGTTATAACATGTGTTCTTAGATAGCTATATATATATTGTACTATGAATTGCTAATTCTTGACTACCGTATGCACTTGTGTTTTGAACCATTGTGAATTTCAGAAAGTTGACAAGTAACTTCATGATAATTTCTTATGTAGTTTTGGAATTTTTAGTTAAATAATGCAGACACTAATAACTAGTGGAATTTAACAATGAAAATAATATATTTGTAATATCCTGATGTGTAAGAAAAATTGAATTTTCTGACGTTTCATGACTTAGTGTAACCTATTTCTTCAAAGAACTAATAAATAAACAAATTAAACTCAATCATATTTAACCAGTACAACTGAATAAAGTAAAAATATTGAGCGCAGTCAGTAAAAAACAGATTTAATCAAGTTAATGTAAGTTAGAACTGAATTTGTGTATTTGTGATAATGACATGAGATGTGGATAGAATTTGATATGGTAGCTAGGATAAATGGTCCAAGTTGAATAGATGGTAAGGCCTTCTGCTATACTGAGAAAGGCAAGATATAGTAATACATGAAAAGCTTCGGAAACTCATCTTTTTTTATAGTTGAGAAACCCATTTTAGGTTGTTTTAATATTTTTTGTATCGAAACGTCAGAAAATTCAGTTTTTCTAGTTGTTAGGATATTACAAATCTATTATTTTTCTTATTAACAGTCTACTCAATGCTCAGTTTATCAAGTCATACCTTGGTATTCATACCTACTGCAAGATTTACGATAAAACCACGGTTTATACTATAGGGGAAAAGTCGAACTATATAAAGAATATTTGTTACAATTTTTCCCATGTTTTGTAACCTCCAGCGAAAAAGTTATGCAAAATAATGGTGAAGCTAGAACTGAACCAGTTTCCGTGCTATAAAAATTAAGAATCAAATGTGAAGTAAACTTTGCAGAATTTGTGAACATTGAGGTCATCGATGTGTGCACGAGGTATGATTGTAATTTAGCACCATAATAGAATACATACAATTAACAGTGTAAATTAAAATGCTTTTTGACGGAATGTATTGAGGTTTTGTGTAACAGCAGCCACCCATCATATCTCACTTACAAACCTGAGAATAAGCCAAATAAGTATCGAAAAAAAGATTATTAGTGAAAGAAACAACTATATACTAAACGTATTATAGTCATCTGACTTCAATGCGTGTTATGTAAAATGTGATTTGAACCTAAAGGATATATTAGTTAGTAAGCAGTTATTTTCAGTTCAGAATATCAGGTTTAGTTGATAATAGTTATGTTATTCTGCTAATTTTTAATGTTCAGTTATTGAATAGAAATGCAGTGCATAAAAGCCATGTGGGTTAAACTGTTACTTAATTCGTTAAAGCCACATATACTGATTTATAGTATTACGCATTTTCATAATACCATAAATTCAATGTGTATTTATGCGTATATGGGCTGGTTTATCTAAATTTAACATATGATGAAGGCAAACAATATACTATAAACTTATTTACATAGATCAGCCTTGTTTTGATTAAGGTACATAAAAGTATGATAAGTATGCTGATTTCTGTTTCAGGAAGTATGAACCGATACTCTTTCTTTGGAAAGTGTTTTGAAAATATGTTAAAATTTTTCTACAATTAAGTTTTGATTGAGGTTGTAAAGATCAACTTTTTAAATCCCAGCGATTTTCACTATAAATTTGATTGGCATTTAGGAAAAGATTTACTACTAATACAATTTTATATCAAGGCATCTTAGTTCTGAAAGTAGGGAGGATACTTTGCGTAACCTACGTGCTTAGAATACAAGACCCAGATTAGCTCATAAACACAATTTTTGATAGTAAACTGTGTTGAAAATTTAATTTGAGCAAATACCTTTCAGAGTAACTTATATTTCACTCAATGATTTAGTATATTGGTACTTTCATAACTTAGGAGAATTTTACAAATGCCAAATAATATCGAAAGAACGCCTACGATTAATATTCTTAAATTGTTTGCTATTTTTATGACTGATCTCCTACCTAATTTTGTTTCAGTTTTCACATATATAATAAAAATATAGCTGCTAGTTGTCCAGTTATTATGAAGTACTTCTGACTAATTTAGTTTTATTTAAATTAACAACTGTTCCCTTTTTTATTACGTGCATAAATATTCCAAGTAATGTCAAAACACTTATTAGGTCTCACCATTGTTTAATGAAGTTCACGTCAAACAATCACTGAATAATAACCATTATGTTTACTTTAGTGCTTAGCGCATTTTATACGTTGATTTACATTGTGATTAAACAACCCAACACTGCCGAAGATTTTGATTGATATAAGACAATTGAAGGCAATTGACATAATACTACCAACACACTAGTTGGTGCTTTAAAGTAATATGCCTCTGTAACTCTCAAGGAACTGATGCTATTCATAGGCTTTTAACCGTCTGCACCTAGAACAATCAGGAATAATGCTCTCAGTGATATGTTGTTATGATGTCCTGAACGACTAAAGATTTTAGAGTTACTCGTAAATCAGTTGTAACTGGAATGATGTTGTGTATATCAAAGTGATAGTTGAATAGTTTGCATTAAGTTTATCTGATAATATGAACTAAATTAATTTAGTAGTCCAGGTATATTAGAAATAGATAAGTAGTTTTCCCCAAACTAGACACAAACTTTTCAGTAGTTTTTAAATTTACATAAACTAGTTAGCAGTTTATAAAGGTGAAGGTTTTGAATATGTATAACATTATTTTACGCTTTTATATCATTGAAATAGACTTCTTTTGTTAGTTTTAATGGGGTTCGAGGACACTATCTACATGCATGTCAACATTGGTCAAAAATTTAGGTTCAATAAATTGATCAAAACATGTTACAAAATGTGTAAACAAACTTTACTATTTATGTAAGTAACGAGATGGGTGTTGAGTTCAAACCTCAGTAAAATTAGTGTCTAGACCTATAATTACACATTTCCCCACGGCATCAATGGCTAAATGTGAAATCGCTTTATCGATCTTTTTTTAGATAGTATGGAAAAACTTAGTAAGTTTATAAGCTAGGATTTTATGACATTTCATTAGCTTTAATAGTTTACAGAGATATACATGTAAATGCAAACAGAATGTAAATTAATTTACAGAATTTTACGTTTCATCAAGTTGGTGGATTGGTTGAGGTTAGACACTAGTGCCGTTGGATGCCGACCGGCTCAGTGGTCTCGTGGTTAAGCGTTCGCGCGCAAGACCGAGGGCCATGGGTTCGAACCTCGCGAGCGGGGTCGTGGATGCGCACTGGTGGGGAGTCTCACAGTTGGACGAAACTGCCGTCCAGTGCATCCAAGTTTTCAATGGTGGTCTAACATCAGTCAGTTCACGATCCCGATCAAAAAATTTCAAATATACTTGTTTTTAAAATATCGTTCATTAAAAATTATGTCTTATAAAAATATAAAAGTAGTGATTAGTACTTTGCTACAAATCATGAATTGTATCATTTATTGATAAGATATAGTAACCTAGAAAGTAACAACTTTGGATTTTTTTGGTCAAAAAACAGTAAGTTATATTTCAAAACATTAACTATTCAAAAACTTTCAAAGTTTTAAAGGAACCTTTCATTTCTGTAGAGACGACCTCTCCTAGCTCACTTCCATCAAATCTGTTTTACGCTTCACATTTATAAATTATGTTACGTACAAAGAATCATCTAGCTAAAAATTATAGTACGAAGACAAAAATTGGTAGTTGATTACACTTTAGGCAGGTCATAAATATTTATTTATTTTTTGATGAGAATAACATAAAAGAAAAAGAAACATAAAAGCATCGTTTAATTCTTATCTTGTGCTAATTTACATTTAATTTACTGGCAAGACAATAATTCATGGCAGCAAGTCTCAGATTTTGGCGCGAAATTCATTCATCTATTTGACTAAATAGAGTTTTGATATTTTAGCTGATGTTAGTTTGTGATGAAAATTCTAAATGTAATTCCTAACCCTAACCAATAACTGTATATCATAATCTTTATTCTTCAACACAGTTTGGTAACCCATATTTAGCTCTAATAATTTGGTGGACATTCTCAAGGTTATTTTAGAGTCGCTCAAAAGTCGATCATAAATTATAGTCTCACCAATTTACCTTAACTACTCATTCAGAGTCTATATGATAGTTGATTGAAATAAAATGCTTTGGATCCTAATTAAAGCTTGAAACTATAACTTTATCTAGAATTTAATTATTTGACATTTAAATGATACAAAATCTATTAAGAATAGATAAGCTTTATGTATTTAGTTTTTATTCTAATTCACTAATTACTGATTGATAAATTATTTGTTGTTTTCCAATCAAACAGATTTCTTTCTGACAAATAGATGATGGATAGATAGATAGACAGACAGGAATGTAGCGATTTACAGACACATGGGTAAATATGATTATATTTTATTTGAGTAAATTGTTAGTAGTATTTTCAAGAATTAGTAACTACTTTGTTTTCTTTTTAGAAATTATTTTCAGGTGAGTTACATTATCACATTATTATTATTTTTTTTTAAAATGTATTCCTTATAAAAGTATATTGTGCAATTTTATGTAAACTAGTTAATTTAACAACTCCGCCTGTAGCTCTTCTAGGGCTACTGCCTGTCCCAAGTTCAGGTAAAAAAGTAGAGTTAAGTATGGAGTCAGCATTTCGATCCTGCAGGAAATAATTTTTGCTAAAAGAAAGCGCTGACCAGAATAAATACATTTTTAGTTAATTTAAGAAAAGAATTAGCAATAATATCCTGGTTACATGGATTTTATTGAAAAATATCCTGTATCACTACAAGTAAGAGTTGAATTATTAATTAATTCAGGAGTATTACGGCTGTTGATTGTAGAGAGGAGAGGTTGATTATGTTGATCCAGGAATTTAAGTATTTTTGTTCCATTGATGATTAAAAAAACATGAGACTCATATTATGTTAAAAAGCTAAGTGAGAACTACAAATATGTTAATCACAGCTGTTTTCATTTATTTACTGTGAGTGATGGAAGCAGGATTTACTGATTAACGAAATTGACTTTTTTTTCATTGAACCTTAGTTTGGGATCTCATTCCATCTGCTGTTATATGAAACGGACAGTAGTTTCTTTGTACGGTAATTTAAGGGATACATTAAAATTAATAGTTAGCAATTTAATTCATTTTAAGGTATATTTATAGAAGTTTATTATCTATAGTTTTATGAAACTAAAATGTAAAATATAGAAATAATAAAGTATGGTTATCATAGAGGAAGTTAAATTCTCACATTTCGAATGATGATAAGTGTTATCAAAGGGTCTTGATTTCGTATCCGTTTAACTCTTTTTACTGTTTTGCCAATTTAGTTCTTAGATTTAGACTGTATTTTATTGAGGGGAATCATAGACATTCAGCTCGTTGTTTACAGTATTAAAAACCAGACTAGAAAGTTTCATGTATTTTGATATATTGAAATGGGAATGCTTAAGTTCAGTATTTTGCAATACTGACTTCGGTTAAAAGTGTTGTATTGTTACAGGTAATTACATTTCCAACTATGTAAGCTACATACAATATCGGATACATTTCACACCTTAGAAAAACAAATTAGCATAAAATCAAGTATCTTGATCTATACAGTAATAAAGTTCGGTTAGATTTTAGACATTAAATATTTAAACTAAAATTTTATAAACAATATTACTTCATACCCAGTGTTATATTTCAAGTGAAAAACTGGGGAACACATTATACCTTTATTAGAACTTTCTTATTAATTGATCACTGTGGGCCCAAATAATTCTAAAGGAAGAATAAAACTAATCCTTAGATTTGGTGGAATTGTATCACAATTCTACCACTGTGATGATGAATATGCTTTTCGTTAGTTTATTTCTATGTATACAAAGAAAATCTTAATCAGTATTCTTTGTCATATATTTTTTAGTGAAATCAATGCATACATTTTGTTATGCAGTTACTTAACTATGAGATTAGGAGACATATATGGTCTAAAAATGATAGATCAAAGTCTTTTACTGGTTTCTGTTCTGTTTATGGATAATATAAAATGATATTGTTGGATAACGGAAGTTTGTTATCAATGTTTAGATGTTGCACTAATACCAACTTTGTTTTTAGAAATTTAGAAATTTACATTTTCTGTCTAAAAACTGGAGTTAAGGAATTTTCACGAGTTATTCTATAATCTAGCACATTCAGTTGAGAGTAGATGATGGTGAAAGTTACACAAAATTTCAAATGCTAACTTCATTTGGGAAATTCACAATGTTCATAAAATTTGACCAGATATATAACTAACAACATAACAACATCATAACGTGTTACTAGTCAAGAGCGTTAATCCTTATTGTTTTTGATTGAAAAGATATACCTTTGAAAGATAATTACTTACAGTTATGCAATATATAAATAATGTGTATCTGGGTGATTTTCTAGTAAATATGACTATTTGAGTTTTAAAATGAAAATCTAAACTTGGTTGATTTACAATCACTGTTAAGTTTATACATATATTTCTAGTGAACAGAACATATTTATATCTGTACTTACAGATTAAACATTAAGTACGTTCCAGATTTATTCGATTCTTCATACAAAACAATTTTCGAGAAGAATGTTTCACAGCAATGTTGTTTGAATAAGCATTTATAGATTCCATAAAGTTGCCTTCCTACATAATGATAACTATTTAGATAGTAAACAAAAGGAACTATGGAACTAGTTCAGTATTGTTGAAGTGTGCCTGAAATTCAAATACTGTCTTCATTTTGAAATATATGATTTAATTAAGCACTTATTTAGTGAAACGTATTTATTTGACCTTAGTTGCATCGAGATCTGTCAGGAGCAATTTAAAACATACTTAATATCCCTGTGCTAATAAATCATGGTTTAGTGAATTCTGTATTGACTAGGCTCTTAAGAAAGCACGTTGAAATTGAAAAACACCTAAATAGAAGTATCTTTTGTTTCTAATCGTCTATCTAGAGGTGGTTGAGGCCATTAAAACAGTTTTAAGTGTTTTTATAAGATTTACTTCTGGTTGTTTCCACTAATTATCTAAAGTTATTTCACCCATAAAACAAACATAAATGCCTATAAAATCGATGGATTATGGCTAGCAGCGGAAATCAGAATTCGGGACTTGTAAGCTGGATGTGCCTGCATTCCGGAGTTTATAATAACTCCGGATTTCAAACACAGTACCCTTTACATTCAAAAGTCAGACGCATCATCCACTTAGCTACTGAATCCAATTAGCTAATAGTTTGTCCAACGGGTATGAGTTTAAATTAATTTTTTAGTTGTTCCGTGTTGATATTTTTGTTCTAATTTTGATCGGTCTTAATTGGCATATGTACATCATGTGAGGATTGCCTCGATTCAACTATTTCGTCACAAATGTTTCAGAGGTTCACTGACTTATGAAATAATATAAACTTTCACCTCTAGTCCTATTCAAATTATCGACTATGTTTTCTTCACTATTTTGATTTATTTTACTGAAATTCGATCTATTACAATTTTATTAACTTTAGATCGAAATCATGTCACTGAATGATGTTATATTAGATCATGAATCAAATCAGTGCCTATTTGTATGCACTAAGTGTGGAGCAGAATATGTTACACGAGATATGTTAGCTATGCATATGATGGATAGTGCACGTGCTGGAATGTGTATAGAAACTGATGCAACCACTAATGCATCAAATGTGAACAATAGTACTAATCATAAGATAACTCTCTGTGAAGATCTCGTTGATTCAGATAAACTTATTACACAGAAGCATGATGGAATATCAAACAATTTTAATCCTTCATCGTATCGTTCTTCTTTATCAGGTTGGATAGGTGAAAGAACTGAACCAATATTTAATATATTATTTAATCAACTCACTTTACCGAATTTATATTCTATACAAAATTCCACAACAAATAATAATAGTAATAACAGTAATGATACAACCAGTTTTCATACAAGTCCGAAAAACCGTAGATTCTTATCAGGATACGAAGGTAATATACCTTCTTTTAGAGGATGTCAAATAAATCAAGATAATTCTTCATCATATATAGATATTCAAAAAAGTGAATGTCTACATAATCTGCTGCTGAATTCAAAATATCCAACAAGTAATATTCCACCAAATATAAAGATGAATTTAATTCGGTCTTTAAAAGTTAATGAAACGAATGTATTTCCAAAATCAACAATAAAAGACAGTGTTAGAAATATGAATGAAAAATCTAACTCAAACGATTATAAAATTAAAATGAAAAATGTTCCTAGTGAAGTTGTAACAAGTCAAACATCAACATCATCAGTATATTCTTTTATAAAGTCTCTTAATGGATGTAATGCTATATCAACCTCAAATCGTGATATTTCAAAATCATTGAATTTCTCATCAGGCACATCATTAACTAATGAAGATCAAAAATTTATAAATAATATTCAATGTAAATCTCATAGAGAAAATCAAGACGTTAATAGTCAAGAAAGTTTGAAAATTGCTATTCTAGATTCAAATGTAAAATGTATTGAGAATCATAAAGTTTCTAAAGGTAGTGAGTTATTTGAAGATGTTAAGAGATATGAGATTATTGATCAACCCCTCACAATTAAAAGAAGTCGATCATTGCCCTCACCACGAGGATTAGGAAATCAACAAAGAAATTGTGAAATGAATTATTCGGTTTTGGAAGGAAATAATCGATTTTTGAATGCAAGTAATATGAACAACAGTGATGGTGTTTTTCATAAGGTGAAGAGAATATTCCTAAAGTTGAAATGAAAATAATTTAGTTTATAGTCTTGTAATATCGTCTCACTTGTAATACAGTATGCAATTTTTAAAATATGCTTAGACTATTTTGTGGTGGTAACGTATATCATGTTGTATAGTCATTATTGATAACTGAAATCAATCTGAAAAGTTTCAATTCAGTCATCAATTCTAATGATATTAAATTGCGGTTAATATTTTTTAAAGTTAACTTGATTGGAACCAAGTGATAGGAAGCCTTAGACTTAGTTTACGTGTTAGTTGGGTAAATTTTGTCAACTAATATCAGACGTGTTTATTCTTAGTACAGTGGCGTTCATGAGCGATAATTTCTAATTAAGTGATACATAAATTTATCAGTATTAACTTATTTCAATTAATTTCTGTTATAGTGAATATGGTGTAAATATATTTTGATCGCATATCTTTTATTTCATATCTAACCAATGTTTTCAGTAATGCAATAAAGACAGAATGAATTAGATTATATGTTAATGATATATCCAGGTGATGAATATTAACTAGCAGGAAACATAGGTTTAAGGTTTTCTGCTGACAGCCTCCAAACACCTTACATAGTTTAAAAATGCACTCAGAAATATAATTTGGGTCATCTTTTCATTTATACATGTATATTGTCACAAGTGTATACAGATTTGCAAAGCATGGTTTGAAGCGATAACACTAAAGTCACCTAGCTTGAAAAAATTTATGAAACACCTGTCTTCATCAACTTGTTCTATTCATCACATCGCATTTTTTAATCTTAAGACCAATTCTCTTAATGCTATTGTGTCCTTAACTTTCTCTGCTGAGTATTGCCTATTTTATATAAAGAACCATGATCGAGTTAATGATGTAGTTAACACAACAAAACAGTGACATATGAATTATTTTACATTTCAAGAATCTGTATTGTTCATGGTCTTCACAACTGATACCATCTATATATGCTTGTAAATTGGAATCGATCGTGTCATTCATATTTCATTTTACGACTAATCATGATTGACAACAACTGTAGCAGATTATTTAATTTTTACAATATAACTATGGAATGAGTATATCTGTAGAATACTAATGAACAATCTGGAAAGAATATACAAACTTGAGTTAAAGTTAGCCAGTTTACTAGTAAATATCTTCAGTTATGGATATCGACTAACATTTTGAAAAATGTGTTTATGTTGCCACTAAATCCATTTGAATTTTATTGCATCTCAAAATTTCTGTTGTTGTTTTTTCCATTAATTCTAAATAGACACGACGTGACCGCAGGTGTTATAAGAAGTCGGGGTTTAGAAATTTGCGTAAATTTGTAAATTACAATCGATCCAAGCTCAATATTCTGAAAAATTCACATTTTGTATCTGAAATACACCATGATAAAGCAGGCATGAATTCAAACTGTTACAATGACAGAGAAACTGATACGAATATTCACAATAATAATTTAAATGAAATGAACAGTCAAAATACTAGTAAAGTTGAACACTTTCGGCCAATTTTCCCATACATTTGTGAATATTGTCAAATTGGATTTGTTCAACAAGCTTTATATTGTTTACACATGGGAATGCATTGTGTAAATAATCCATTGAAATGTAATATGTGTGCACAAACCTGTTTAGATGTTTATGACTTTATTGGACATACAATGCATTTTTGAGTAACTGATAAATTATTTATATTTAACATGCCAATTATTGATAAATGCTTATCTTTCAAATGTTGGTTTATGGTTTTTGAAATCGAAAGTTACATAAGTCTCTTTTACCCCATTATGGTTCAATTATAGACAGTTAAACTTAGGTTGATGTTATTTATTGATTTATGAATGGATAGTTATAGTATAAGAAAGGGATGGAGACTATCTTGTCAACGTTTAGCTTATACTTTAATCATAGTGGAATTGCTGATGAGTTTTTCTACGATGAGTAAATGAATCCTAGAATTTTCCGGATACTTATTTTTTTACATATTGTTGGACAATGATAAACGTATAGGTAATTTATATAGGATATTATTAACAATATTAAGCGGATATATACCTCAAAGTTCAGTCAAACAGCCATAAGAATACCCATAAACACTGGTTTGGTGCATTTGTCTTCCCTACAAATAGATGAAAAAGCTTCTACTCGAAGAAGAGGCTCAAGTTTCCCTGTTTGTTTCTAGAGAGAAACAAAGTATTAAACGAATCAAATGAAGAAACCGAAAGTGACTGGAAAATCATCATTTCAGAAATCATGCAGTATGAGAAATAGACACAACTTGTGTTATCAAATGAAAGACACACAAAAGGCATTTTACATGTAGTCAAAATTATACGAAAAAGAATAACAGATGTTTGGTATTTTATATATGGTTTAGAGGGACACTAAACTCTAATTATGATAAGAAGACGATAATCATGACTGTGTTATATATTATTTCAATACATTTCGGATAATATGATCACACCAACATAGGGCGGAGAAAATATGATTTGTATCTACAAAATGGTTACAAAAACAAATAAACTCAAGTGATCTAATAAGAATAGATGATAAACATTCGTCGTCCTCTCTTGTTAAACTTAGTTGAAACAAGTCATACTGACTCAACTTTTGTGGCTTTGCACAAAAGTGTTCAAGGGCGTATACCAAGGTCTATTGGAGCCCTGGGTATGTGAAAATTCAAACTCTTTCATGTGTTCGAAAACAGCTTATTCTCACACTACATTCACCCTGGTAATATTGTTCTATCATACAGTATGGTGAGTTTCACGTTATTTTCAACATTATTCTCTTTATTGTCCTTGTTTCCTTTTACCTTCTACCTGTCCAGTTGACTTTTTAATTCTTCCTACATAAATTTTGCTAACAAGTATTTGTGTAATCAAAGTGATCGAAATGTATTGAGCACAGTCCCGAAAATCTTAGTCTTCTTGTTACACTATCTATTTGATGACATGAATTTAGTCAGCTCTACTTCCTTAGGAACAAAATACCATATGTGAATGAACTTCGATAACTATTAAGCTTATGAAATCGGAAAAATGATCACTGCACTCCACAGTACGTGTTTAAATATTTTAGGGATTTTTAATTGTGTCATATTTCGTCGTAGCAGGAAGAAGTGAATTAATTGTATTCACGTGATTACCTACAATGACTTAATAACTGGATGCCAATTCTCTGATAATGAGTCGTGTAGTTTAATGTTTACTGTGGATCTTCTCTGTCCTTATAACGATCTATGTATAAACAAATTTATATTAAATAATTTAACTACTGAAAATAATTTAAGTAGAAATGACATTTCCATCAAATGTTTTCATGCTGGCTAAATTAACAATTCACAATAATTAAAAGAGTATTAGGTCTTCAAAACAGTTAACTGGTTATTTTGGGTTCGGTAGAATCCAGTCTTTATATAGTAGGATGAGAGGTGGTGCAAAGCAATATTATCATATTCACTGAACATGCTATTTTTTATATTTTATAAAATCTTATTAACTGTCATTTTACATGTATACACCAGAAAATTAACCATACGGTCAATGGATGTAGTCACTGTACCAAAGTTGAACATTAATATGGCTACATCGAACCGAAATGTCATATAGATCTTGACTGATTATTGGTCACTGCTCTAAATTAAGGTTTAAGAACGGTTTTCAAATGATTAGTTACTGTCTTTTGATATGAATAGTTACGGTATTTAATAATATAGATTATCATGATTGAGTGATACGTAGCAAAGGTGGATAGATCCACTAATTAAGGTTGTAGTGGTTAGTTGATTTATTAACTTCGTCCCACTTTTTTCTAATAATACTGAATCATGTAGTTTTTTTGTGGTTTTAATTGATGAATAATTTTCGAGAGAAAAGAGAGAAATCTCCGTGTCGAAACAATGCTGACAGATACATTTACTCTAAATTCTCAGGCCGATTTAGTGTTGATCATCATAAAATTTATGTGTGGGCCAGGATTGTTCGAGAGAACTCGGACCTTTCCCCGTGCTCTTGACCTAGAGTTGTTCATGGTCTACAACGCAGTGGAGTAGAGTTAAGAGCTGTATCCGGTACAAAGATATAGGTTCATTCGCGGTTTGATCCTTCAGTATCCTGGAGCCCATGCGCATCAGTGGTTTAAAATCAATGTATTTCAACTACCACAGTTGGATTTCCTGTATCCCCCAACTTGGTTTAAGCAGTGGACTTTCGCGTCTCATCCTCTCACTTTTGTAAATAACACTGTGTCTGCAAGAAAGCTGTAGGAAGAGATTCCTTGATGGCAATTATGATTGTGGGGTCCTACGAGAAGACACTTAGAGGGAAAGTGGACCTCCCCCTACCTTTTATCGTTTAAAGACACTCAGGGGAACTAAACAGTAAATACCAATAAAATTACTGATAAATCGACGATCACGTGAAAAACATGAAATATTCTACAACTACTATAGCTTTCAAAATACAGAGAAGTGGAAACTCTTGTTGTCACGTGTGTCTGTACTAATTATAGCACTTTAAAACACCTTAATTTAAATGTATAAAAAGAATACTTATATAAATCTCAGAAAGCTTTTGTTTTTTCTTTATCTATGAAAAAGCGAAGAAAAGCATTGGCAAATGTGTTATGATTCAATTAACATTAGGAATTAAAAAAAGCTTTTACAAAATTGTAAACAAATAAATTTATTCAGATTGAATTTCCTGTTCTGTGTTGCATTTTTTAAAATATTGAAACATATATTCATTATGTTAAAACACGTTCGGTAATAAATTTCACGTGCACACAGTAAGTAGAAATCATTACATCAGTTGCAATAAACATATTTTCAATGTAAACTTGGAAACAGGGGTTACGTAGATAAATTTAGAAAATTCATTAACATCACTTTGATTAAAAATCTTTACTTTTATGTAGGACTCTATCTTGATAACGAAGATCATCAACTTAATGAAATTTCCACATACGACATCACTAAATATTGATGTGAGTTTCGTCTGAAAAGGTTCATTACTTTTTAAATTAATTTGATGGTTTTATTAGTCTGATTAAAACATATAAGAAGTTTGACTGTTCTTTACAAAGTTATTAGAGGATTGCGTGTGTTTTCATGCTTTTGTATTAACAACTGTGGTTATGTAGAGTGTTAAAGAATTGATTCGATGTTAGGAATCTCTAGAAATCTTATACATGTTTATTAGTATATACATCGAATGCATGGATTGATAGTAAATTGTTTTAATAGGTGATGAATGTAAATGATAAACTACTTGATTAGTTTATCAAAATATTTCGTCAGATAAAAAACGTATTTCTACTAGATGTTATTAGGTCAAGATAATTTTAGAAGCTCAATAGCTTAAATTATAAATTTCTTATTTCACTACTGGTGTAATCTTAAGATCCGGGTTGTTTCGTACTTAACTTTGACCACCTGATTTAAGACCTGAAAATACACGTCACTAAGCACAACTAAATATTTACTCTTTACGTATATCTGATTTACTATTCCGAAAAGTTTTACTTTTGGGTTAGTAAGAATAAGAGCTTTATTATTTGTTAAATAACTGGTCCCTAGATTAATGTGAATATATTTTATTTGCTTAGTAAAACAGATTAATAAGTGGGATTCTTATTTCGGTCAATGATATGACGGCATACTGATGGTCATTGAAGAACATTTGGATTGTAAAATGTTTATTCTGAAAATGTATATACTTATGTACGATATTTTATTGCCTTCATTAGCTTTTATTAGTAGAAGCGATAACTTAACCAATACACATTAATCCTCCTCTATAAAAATGATGTTGATTTACTGATAATGTATAATAACCAACTATTTGTAGAGCTAAATATTAAATCTAACTATTCATATCTTAAGATTCTACACTGTTAGGCAAATGGATATTAACGAGAGCTTAGATATTCAATAGTTTGCTGACCAATATGTCATTTAATATTAGTAGTTTGGGTAGTGCTGATTTTTCTAGTTTCCCTGTTTCAGAGACTTTAAGTTTAACATTTAATAATGAGTATATTATTATCGATGTCGTGCTAACCTAGTCCTCAGTATTGATCGAATTGTACCTAGCGAATAACCACAAATCTATATAACTACACCTCAATCATAGTATAGTTTCAAAGTTTGGTGGTTGGAGGCAGTTGGTAGGAAGTCTTGGGTCTAGATATAATGTTAACTGTCTTTCAGTTTTCACCAAGTAAAGAGTATACAAATAATCCAGTGACATATAGACTACTATTAAATTCACGAGTAAAAGTGAATATAACAACGTATTCATATTTAAAATTTTTGATTGAATATCGTTTGTACTATGAATTCAGTTTATACTTTTTCCACCATAGTTTCTTTACATTAACGTGTGGATTTTAAAGATGTTATTAAACATCATTATCATTTACCATATATAGCTGGTCTTTGAACAATATATTCATATACTATAACTTGATTTAATGTTTATACTGATCTACTAGAAAGTAATAGCCAGTGTTTGACAAGTTTAGTCAAATGTTAATATTCAAATCTGCTAAATGAAGGTTTTTGTTAAGAATTATTTGTGGAGAGGTTTAAAATAATAAAAGAATAAAAGCATTTAGATGATAAAAGAAATAAATGAATGATATTACATATTGGTCCTCACAAAACAACTATGACAACTGGAAAACCATAAGGGTTGTGGAAAGAAATAAGTCAATATTTCCAAACATTTTAAATAGTTGAGATCATGAGTTAATTGATGCTAGACCACCATAG